TTTTTCTGTGCGGCCCGGTACCGGTCCGCGGCACGGTGGTTGGGGACCGCTGCTCTAATGGACGGTGGTAACATTACAACCCTGAAAGAAATTCCTATCGATTAATTGGATAAAGAATTTTAAACTTCATAAACCATTAATTAACACTTAATCCTAAGTCAATTATTTGTTTAAATCCCTAATTAATTTGAAACTCTTTTCTAGGGACGAGTGGGCGGAGGCCATCCAGATGGTAGCAGAGTCACTGGCTAAGCAGGAGGAGGAAGGCATCCTGTGCAGCCCCACTTCCCAGATCGAGAACGTTAACGAGGAGGAGATGGACACCTCCATCAGCCACTACAAACGAAAGGTCCGCAGGCTTTACGTCCATCAGAAGCGTCCAACCTGTCTGACTGGTTCTGCTGGTGAATGTACAGAAACTCACATCATTGTTTTATCTTCATGTCCAAGCTTCTCTCTTGTGTTCTGTCCAGACAATGAATGACTTTGACTATCTGAAGCTTCTGGGTAAAGGCACGTTTGGGAAAGTCATTCTGGTGAGGGAGAAGGCGAGTGGCACCTACTATGCCATGAAGATCCTGAAGAAAGAAGTCATTATAGCCAAGGTCTCGTCATCATCAGAAACACTTATTTATTCTTGGACACATCAAGCATTGCCTAACGCTTCTTAAAGTGACCTTTCACATTCTGTTTGATTGTGAATTTAGCTCATTAGTGACCAGTTTTATAGAGTGATTATTATTTAGTGACTAATTACTTCTTTCTAACCTGTCTCATCACAGGATGAAGTCGCTCACACGCTCACAGAAAGTAGAGTATTGAAAAACACTAGACATCCGTTCCTAACGGTAAGTATTTCAGCAAATATTCAACGGATAAATCTGGATTTATTAAGTTTGGATCAAAGAAGCTCAGAAGGAAAATTTACTTTCATAGTTGTGGAGCCCTTAATGGTATCTGAAAGGCTTTATGGTTCCAGCTCATCTGAATATTCCAGAAAACCCCCCAGAAAATACTGAAATTCTGCCGGATAGCAGTTAATTGGGTCTTTTATTTTCCCAGATCTTCATTCTGGTTGTCTAAAAACATCTCAAAAATCCTTTAGACACTGAAATGTGAGAGTTTGCTGTAGTTTTTAGTGGGGCATCCTGGTTCAATCTGAGTGGGATCAGTTCCTGAGCAAAGCACAACCTCTCTCAAAGCTCTGCTCCTGACTGTACCAGGAAAGAATAGCATCAAAACATCCAAGAGCAACTTCTTCCAAGGATCCAGACACAACCTGCTGAGGATGTGTTTTTATGGTTCAAGCCACGTGACGCCTTCTGAACCCTTAGACCTGCAGCCAGGACACGTTCCAGTTCTTTTCCCTATGAAGGACCTGTGAGGCCAACAAACTGAATCCTTCATTCAATCCTTTTTAAATAGAAAGCAGACTTTTAAAATCCTAATTTCCTCTAAATTGAAGTCAAATAACGGGCATATTAATTTATTTCCAATTAAGCCTTGGGCTCTGATGTAAACAGGAAGCAATTTTACGAGTATGGGACAAAGAAGGGTGAAAATGAAGTGGTTATAATCAATGGATCATTATCTATACCTAAAAGAACATATATAAAACAGACTTTTGGTCAGAG